AATCATCAGTCAATCATTGTTAGACCAACATTAGAAACCTGGAAGCACTGGACGACCGTTTCGTCCTGGTATAGGACTCATCAGCAGTTCGCATCCACGACTCACGCACCTCGCAGAATTCGAACCCGGGACCTTCGGTATTAAGCGCGAATGCCGAACCATTGGACCACTGGGCCGGCATCCAACGGTGTTAATGTCTAACTTTGATTAATCTAGGGATTTTGTGCAACCTTACCCATTTGTCTTCGGTAGTTACTGCCTACACCTGATAGGGTTGTACTGCACTGGTCACGTCTTCTCACTAGAACACCGAGAATTTCCTTACGAAGCCAGTCACTAGTAAGCAGTGTTACGATATTTCAGTTAGAGTTTTGGAGATTTGTGTTTTTTAAACATCTGAAATCACCAATCAATCATTGTTGGTGTTATAATTCTGCTACGTATCTATTCAAATCCTATCAATGTCCGAATTCAAATATTCTAATACGACCCAAATACTATTCCCAAATCTCCTATATATCAGAACGCAACACCGTTGGATGGAGTTGTTTATTGGAGCGAGTATAGAAGAGAGGTAGGCAGGATGGAACGGAATCATTAAGTCTTAAAGATAGTGCGTATTTATACATTCAGGTCGAATAGGAAAGAGCATCGAAGTCTGTGACATTGACAGTTTAGGACGACCAACAAGAAAGAACATTTGAAATGAGATTGACAGTCTGGATGACCAATCAGAGACAACATTGAAGTATTTGACTTTGACAGATAAAATTTTGACCAATAGAAATCAACCAGTACGATTATGCTTCCAAAAATAGTACTTTTAGGATTTTTGGTGAATATCCTCACAGTTAGACCGCCATTAGAAACCTGGGTGAGGTCGTGCAAAATCCTTAGATTAATCAAAGTTAGACATTAATACCGTTGGATGCCAGCCCAGTGGTCCAATGGTTAGGCGTTCGCGCACAATACCGAATGTCCCGGGTTCGAATCCTGTGAGGTGCATGAGTCGTGGATGCGAAAAGCTGATGAGTCCTACATCAGGAATTGACGGCCGTATTTCAGTGCTTCCAGGTTTCTGATGGTGGTCTACTAGTGATTAATTAATGATTTCAATGCGTGAAAAGTCCAAATCTTTCAATGAAACAAGCAACAAACAAAGCAACACGTTAAACTAATCTAAGCGATCGATAAATCGATCATTAAATTTCACTTCATCCAATCACACCGTCATCATCACCATCATCATGATCATCATTCAGTAGCATTCACACTGATCACTACTGATAAGAATAGTAGTGAAATATTGATTATGACTATGATCAATATTTCTAAACATCTATTTTGTGCTTAAATGAAACTAGACATTATTTGAAACAGTTTTTTAAAATGAAGGAGAAAAGTTTACATTTTCTGTCAGTTGCGTAGTAAATAATTAAAATCAAAGAATGTATTCTTTCTTTGATGAGTAAATCTTTGTGTTTTTAACAAAACAAAATCAAAATACTGCAAGTAACGTCACGATATTCGACTGAAAAAAACAGTGAATTTCACTAGATGTGAATATATATATATATATATATATATATATATATATATATATATTGTATAGTGTCACATGTTTGATTAAGTAGCAGTGAAAATGGCATTTGTGTGATGTTTGTGTTTAATAGACAGTAACATTGTGCGTGCATTACATTGAGTGATCTTATGTTTCTAGTATTATGGCATGTTTATGCGCTTATTCACATACCTCTCCTGTCTTCATGATCCTTTCATAGCTAGCTACAAGAATAAATTTTGTGCAGATTGAAAGATTTTGATGTCGCATACAATGCTCAACACTATTACTCACCCGAATGTGACATTTCCACTGTTAAGTTCGTCACTAGGTACGCTTGAAGCTGTTACAAGTTCATCTTAGTCGATAAACGCAAACAAGACAATTATCAGTGTCTAGGTAGGCTACCTAGAATTCCAAACTGCAAAATAGAAGTCTTGATAAGCGTGGAAAGTATATTGTACGACACCCAGCAAGCAAAATACAATCAAGCACATATTTCTCTTTTATTTATACATCATTGAAACGTCCTTGTGACAGTCACAACAATAGCACACTAAAATACATAGCAGCCAATCACAGCCAAGGATTTTTCTGATGGTAAATGTGATCTCAAGGTCAACTGATCAGCCTATGCTCGCAAACGTGAAATCCAAAATAGGGGCATTTACGAAGCGAGTTCTGGGGATCTAACGTCCCCAGCGTCCACATAATATCAACATTCGAAATGTACAGGACAATATATACTGTGTTTCATGAATGCTTCAGGTGACAAGCCTACAACACACAAATGCGAATAGATTTCCTGATGCAATTATTAGTGAATTTTTCAGTATAGAAAGAATGCAGGCTTTATGTGCAACAAACTGACTGATATTCGCTTCAAAGTGATGTCAGATATGAAGACTGAATGGTGAAAGTGTAAACGACAATTCATACACAGCTGTTTACAGACACATTACTGATCTGCATAAACTTATGACAACTCTGAACATATTAATCAATATAATAAACAAGTTGTCAACTTCGATCACGTGAATATGGTTTTAGATTGAGTGAAACTCACTTTCGAGTTCGGAATGCCTCACACATACGAAATATGTCGTCGATAGTTCGTAGTTGTAATTTTGTGGTTGTGTTGAGATGGGTTAAGTGTCTGTCATATAGAAGACACAATTTATTGACAAATTGTATACATCTAATCTCCAAACATCCTTTTGCAAAACGAACACATTATTGGTCATTTTCTTCCATATGTTTTCTAGTCTTCGAAAAAATCTGATCATGTCAACTACCAAGAACTGAGACACTTCTCTCTGAAAAGATCTTTTCAGGAACACTCCTTGGCACACTACACATAAGGCGCATTGCAAGTAGTACCCACCATATAAGTAGTAGTGTAGTGAATGAGAACACAGGTGGGACAACCGAATTGTACCTAACGAAAATTACAGAGTTACTCAGTAAAATCGGACAACCATATCGTAAATCGTTCATTTGCAAAATATCAGTTCATCATATTGAACTGGACTGTTCCTGTTGCCAAACATCAATCCATTGTCACTATTCATGCGTTTCATACAAATTCCATTGTGTTCTAACTCTTCCTTTCTTGATCTTCCCCCATCTTCTGCTGACACCAGATATTACGTTGACACTCATGTCATATACTACTTATAAGTAGCTCACACCACAGTAGTAGTAGTAGTAGTAGTAGTAGTAATAGTAGTAGTAGTAGTAGTAGTAGTAGTAGTAGTAGTAGTAGTAGTAGTAGTAGTAGTAGTAGTAGTAAAAATCGTGTTCGTAGTCATAGAAAAAGATGACCAAAACACAACAGCACTAATTTTCAAATTCGTTTCTTTAATTGTCGTTAAATTGTTAAATTGTGTTATGTTAATCACTTGAGATGTTTCTACTCATATGATTCAAGCAACATATAAAAACTACAACCGCAACGACAGGAGTATAATGTGCAACAAACTCTACGACTACTACTATCACTACCAACAGCGTTCATTCATCTCTGACACCTCACACTATCCAAGCCACAGAATGTTGCATTCACAAATCCATCTGTAGTTGCGTGTTTGTCTAGGTGAGCATTCCACTGTAATCAAACATAAAAACTCTTACACAAACTCTAAACAGATCTGATTAATTGTGTGTAGGCTTTGTCAAATATTATTCACACAAAATGCTTGAATGAAATCCGTCGACAAAATACTATTACACTTGAACGTGTATTGTGTGGCAATTGAATGACATGCTGATGTTTTCACTATGTTTTTAACCTATAAATAACGTGCTTTGAAGTGGAGAAATGAGATTTTGTTTTATTGAATTTGTAGGATGAATAATTCTCATGTGATTAAGTACTCACATGAAGAAAGTACACGATGAGACTGTAAAGAAGTCATTGATATTGAACAGCGAGTGGCGATTAGAAATCGATTACCTCATTGTACACTTCACGAGTTGTGATGACTGATAGGTTCGTGATAGTCACTCTATTTTACTAGTTAATATGAGTATCTGATGTGAATAATGAGTAAACGTAATTCCTCTGAAAAATGTAGTGTATTTGCTCCAGACAATTTGAACAGTCGAAACGCATTTTATATGAACGTTTAAAATGGTCAGTTAAATAGAAGATGTATGCTGACAATCCGAATTGACGGAGAGAGAAAAGTAACACAATATTGAGGTATTACAAAAGAGTATTAAATGGTCAAATTACCCTACGTATTTCCATGGCTTAAATATTACTGGCGTAATGAAAAATCTGCAGTCGAAATTAATCCGACGAACATATGAAATAGCACTCATATAATCAATAACAAACACTGTTCACTAATCCAACATTGCATAGGTCTGTTCAGTGAAAACGCAGCATCGGGTGATAGACATAACGTCGCGGAAGTGAAATGTTGTAGCTCGAAACGTATTTGCATCTTCTTCACTCGAATCGATTACTATAACTATGAATACCACTAATACAAAGAATACCAGGAATAAGGCTAATAAAAACACTACACAGTATTCTGATGAGCCTCACACTGACACTGTAATGATTATAGAGACGTATGACAAACTGCCAAATGCGTGCCCAGTGGCTTATCACTAGCCTCTGCAGAAATATTTACTATCTGTAAAGTCTAGGGTAAGTTTCATTATTCTCAACACCCGTCAACACAACCATATCTGTTCATCAAAAGAGGCAGAAAACACATCCCGCTTCACAGGTACTCGATTCTCAAATACACAACTCACTCAACATGTTCGCAAACTCTTGCACTGATTACAAAAATATTATCAAAATGCTGCAATTAGGTCTCTCAGTAATTCAACGAATTCCAACAACTAAATGCACAAGTGAACTACACCAATAAACTCATGTGCAATCGAGTGAATATAAAAGCATGTAGGAAAAACGCAAACTGATGTTTGTATGGAGAAGAATTCGACTCCCCACAGATTCATTTATTCTGAAATCAGAAAACACACACATATATCGCAAAACGTCAATATTATGAGTGAGTGAGTAAGTGCATTTGTAGGTGAGTAATAAGCAATCTATTTGTGGTTCACTTTGATTCCACGTTCACCACGTTTCCAATTCACTGGACATACTTCACCATGCTTCTCTACAAATTGGAACGCATCCAGTAATCGTAATGTTTCATCTACAGATCGTCCAACTGGTTTGTCATTGATGGTGATTTGACGTAGAATTCCTTTCGTGTCGATTATGAATAGACCTCTGAAAAGGGAGGTGAATTGAAGAAGATGAAGAGCAGCAATGCAGATAAAGTTATGTCTTCATGAAAATAGATAACTGCTAACATGTTTTGATTGATACTGGTCATAGACGCACTTCCTACTCAAACAGTATCACTTTCTAAAAATCTCTGAACATGAGATTCATTGAGTCGAATGTCAGAACGCATTTGGTGAGAGTTAGGTCTGAAACAACTGTCATCAGAATAACACCACACCTCAACATAACAATCAGTATAACCTCTCCTAACATAATAAACATAATCGGATATAGGATAAACATGAAAATGAGTAACACGTTCAGCATTCCACTCATACGTCATTTTAAAGATAAGATTGTCTCTTATTACAATAATTCCGTCACCTACAGTGAACACAGACCTCGACAAAACTTATCTGATATTCTCATAAAGTTCACTCACCTCACACAACATCAATCAACATTGACAAGAATTTCACATGGTCATCCACACAAAAACACTGAAACACATCACTCACCTGAATGCGTTGCCATCATCTTCATCCAAAACACCATACGCTCTCGATATCTCACCTGTACGATCAGCTAACAATGGAATTCTCATCTGACCCAATCCACCTGATTTACGATCCTGATTGTTCCATGCAAGATGACTGTATTTGGAATCAGTGGAACAGGCAATCACTTGACAATTGCGACTCTTGAACTCTTCAACTTGATCACTGAATGCAATGATCTCAGTTGGACAGACGAATGTGCTGCAGAACAAAATATGAGGAGGTAAATCAATGGAACAGTGAAGTGATGTGCAGTTCCACAAGTTCAGATGAGACAGAAATTGTCAGTAGTGATCTGATTATATACGCGATAAGAATAATAGCTAGAAAATCAATGAGTTAGTTAGCAACATATGCATCGGTTCGAGAACATGGAGCATATAGTCATTCTGCGCTATCCATCTCGTGTACGGTACTGCTGTGCGACATAATCACTCGGTCAATTAGTTTGGATTTCAAGTGACACAGTGTGGACATAGCAGCGCGTTGCAGTGCAGATTCGCAATTACCACACAGAAGAATGTCGTCACTAAACAGATAGGGGATCAACAAACGATCTAACCAGTGCCAAACCAAACTTCAGAATAATCATCTCACAACATCGATAGATATCCAATTTCATACACACATCCAACATATAATTATAACAGTCAGCAAAATGAAATGCACAGTCGTTCAACTATTCGAAGAAACGTATCCTAGGTGGAAATGCATATAGCTTAAATAAAAGTGGGTGAACAAATTCTAACTGTCAACATATATATACAATTCACACAATCACAACTCACAAATCAGCTGGATAGAAGAATAATACTACATATTTTCCTGAATAATCCTTCAAACTGATCTCTTTGAATTCACCATCAATCACTGCATCTCCTTTGAATTGTGGTGCAGGTTTATTCGGTAACAACACCATGATCAGTGCTCACTGACTGATTGATTGATTGATTGAGCTGAGAGTGAGTTGCCTGACAATGGTTACTCGATTCATGTGTTGCATGTTTATATACATGTTGTGCTGCACTGTGACCTTCAATCTGATTGGTCGTCATTTTCACACTCAGTCGATTGGGTAGATTTGGTGAAATGAAATATCTGTCACACAACCACAAACTAGTTACTCATCGATATTTTTGTAGACATGTCATTGTGGATAGTTCAATTAACGTTCGATTGCCTACTTGCAAGAGCGAAATAATTACACATGTGAAACAAGTGAATTTCATATGAACTAGTATTGTATAAAATGAATAGATGTTAAATGTAGGCGTGCGATCATGTTTAGTTTGATTGAAGGTGTATCGAGGAGCGTAATCACCGGAAGGCACTGAATGATTTGTACACTCTATTGTAGCTGGTGTGTGTTTTCCATACATTGTAATTGTCGCAAACGCAATGAGAATGATCAATCATAAATTATTCGATGTGAAATTATAACAAGATTTTCAATGACCCCATATCCCTCTTCATTAACAGTCCAACAATTTCTATCTGTCGATGGAATATCGAATAGACGTCGTTCATGTGAAATGTGTTGTTTGTTGGCGATCACGTTTCAAACTAATCTGGTCACATATTCACTTGACACGAGTTTTTTTCATACGAAACATGATGAAGGGTCAATGGAACAGATTTGGAATAAAATATGTTGACATAGATAAATTTAGGAGAAAAATGATTCTCTGCGTCACACATTATGATTACTATGATTATTATTATTGTGTAATGATCAATGTGATTTTCAATGTAACATGTTTCAATTGAATAAGTAGGAGTGAGAATATCATGTGAACACATTCAGAGCATAGATTTAATTGATGATGATGCATTCTACATGAACTTAGTAAGTGGTCAATTCAATAAAAGTTCAAATCGATTATATGATGACAATTGTAATGACATAATCTGTACTGTACATATTACTTACTGAGCATAATTCGATTATATGAATATGACTGTGCATTGAGTGCGATTCATTTTTGTTTTTGGCATACTGTCCATGTCATACAATCGAATGTGTTTTCTATTCACGAGCTCACACTGTCAATAACGTGGTTGTATACACAAATATAATTTCAGAAAATGGATTGTACGAATAGTGATATGTTCAGAGAGATGGATGATGTTATTAATAGGGTGAACAGTGTTAATAGCGATCATTATTACTTATATGTCAAGTTGTGAGTAGTATCCGACATAGAAGTAGTAGTAGTAGTAGTAGTAATAGTAGTAGTAGTAGTAGTGTGGTGCTGTGGTGCGAACTACTTATAAGTAGTATATGACGTGAGTGTCAACGTAAAGTCTGGTAGCATAATATGGGGGGAAGATCAAGAAAGGAAGAGTTAGAAAACAATGGAATTTGTATGAAACGCATGAATAGTGACAATGGAGTGATGTTTTGCAACAGGAACAGTACAGTTCGATATGATGAACTGATATTTTGCAAATGAACGATTTACGATATGGTTTTCGAATTTTACTGAGTAACTCTGTAATTTTCGCTAAATACAATTTGGTTGCCTCCACCTGTGTTCTCATTCGCTACAATTGGTGTCGCTGCCTGCTCGAAGAAAGGGGCTCCCGTGGCCGAAGGAGTTGCAGGGCGGAGATTGGCGGAGCTTCCTGGTGGAGTTTGGGGCCACGGTGGAGCTGGTGGGGGTTTGGGGCGGAGTTGACGGTGCTGGGGACGCTGCGGGGAGGTGAGGCGAAGGCGGTGCACGACAGCCTGGACGGTGCCGCCGAGGAGACGGCGTGGGAGACGGTCACCGGGCGGCTGATAATGGAGTTCGACAGCCCAGCGGTCAGGGGGAGGCGCCGCAGAGGTTCCGGTTGGCGCGGCTGTCGGCCGATGGTGACCTGTTGGTGCTTGCTGTGGAGCTCACCGGATTGCGCCGTGAGGAGTGGACGGGGCACAGTCTTTGGCGTCGCAATTTATCGAGTGTGTGCCTGCCGCCGTGTTCCAGCATCGGAACTTGTAAACGCTACACGTTGGGTAGATGCCGTATCCATTCCAGACCAGTGATCAAGAACGATGACCGAAGTGGTAATCCGGCATATTGTAGTGTGTCACGGAATACGGAAGGTGATATTAACTGACCAGGGGCTCCGTTTTGAAGGACTACGACGACAGCTTATTAAAAGGGGGGACGAGTGTGGTGCTGTGGTGCGAACTACTTATAAGTAGTATATGACGTGAGTGTCAACGTAAAGTCTGGTAGCATAATATGGGGGGAAGATCAAGAAAGGAAGAGTTAGAAAACAATGGAATTTGTATGAAACGCATGAATAGTGACAATGGAGTGATGTTTTGCAACAGGAACAGTACAGTTCGATATGATGAACTGATATTTTGCAAATGAACGATTTACGATATGGTTTTCGAATTTTACTGAGTAACTCTGTAATTTTCGCTAAATACAATTCGGTTGCCTCCACCTGTGTTCTCATTCGCTACAGTAGTAGTAGTAGTAGTAGTAGTAGTAGTAGTAGTAGTAGTAGTAGTAGTAGTAGTAGTAGTAGTAGTAGTAGTAGTGGTAGTAGTAGTAGTAGTAGTAGTAGTAGTACATGTTATATTGTAAAAGTAATGTTCGTGGTCGTAGATAAAAATCAGACTTGCATTATTTGGATGAGTGAAACGCAGAGACAGTCATCTTCTTATTTATTTCGTTCGTATGTGGTGAAATGATGTTATCTTTATAATCTGAGAGAGTTTTGGACCTAGGATCCGAATCAGATACAACAACCATAACCAAAACAATCGCAGTGAAATGCGAAACAAACTCTACTACTACTACTACTACTTATAATAATAATAATATTAATAATAATAATAATGATAATAATAACAATAATACTACAACGACTACTATCACTACTACTCCGACTACTATTACTACTACTACTACTACTACTACTACTACTACTACTACTATTACTAATATCGCTCACACTACTACTACTACTACTAGTACTCACGCTACTACTACTGAAAAGAATGAGGTAGGCTCGGAAGATTGTATTATGCAAATTTACACTCTCAGTCAATTAAAAACGAAAACATTACATTGAACTCTCTATTTGCACACCATCTTTGAGTCATGACTTCCAACGCTCTATGCTTCTTCCATTCCTGTTGTTGCTTCCTTTACTTCCTGTTGGTACTACTCCATTTACTTCTTGCTTTTGCTCCATTTGCTTTCCGTTTTCCTCTTCTGACCGTGAGAGTTGTTCTTTCACGTCCCTTCTTATACTACTTATATCGTTCATATACGTAGCACACACCACACTACTACTAGTACTCATACTACTACTACTACTAGTACTACTAGTACCCACACTAGTACTACCACTGTGGTGTACGCTACTTATGTTCACATAAGTAGTATATGATATCAAAAGGAAATCAAACGTCTGACATCAAAAGATCGAGAAGGAAAGAAAGGA